GTGGGGAAACAAACAAGCTTGTTTTTTACTATGGAAACTTTAAAATCACTGAGATAGAGAAGAAGTGAGAGCTCTGGCTAATTTTTCTCTTTGACAAAACCACAAAGACATTTTAGGCAAAATGCTTACATTCAGTTTTTGGGTAGACACTGACACTGATCATAATTATCTATTTAACAGCCAACTTGACTTTGTACAATGCATATGCTTTGCAAGAATTATTTTGCCTATCTTTCTACAGGGGAAAACTAACTCAAAACCATACAAAGCCCTGATTTGGCCACTTACAAGGAAGTGAGCATTAGAGAGTGTTTCTTGAAAGCAGATTTGCACAAAGGAAACACCAGTTTGTTCTACAGAAAGAGCAAAGAAAGAAAAAGAACAGAGCAAAATCAGAAACTGCACTTGTTAAATATGCTTTAGGAGACTTTCATTGGAGATAACTGAGGTCATTGTTTCTGGCTGAAAATTAAAACTGTTGATCTCAAATTGTAGGTCACTGACTGAAACTATAACTCCAAGTAACAAAACAAAATGACTAAAGATGACAGAAGCAATAATGCATAAAAATCTTGACAGAGAATGACGAATTTTTAGTGCTATCGGTCTCACAGTACCAGACTGTGCAGATTGTTCATTGCTCCAGTAGTTTGAAACATAGAAGAGGCCAACTGGCCTGGAAGGTTTCATACTTATAGCTCTTGATCCTGTTAATCTGAACATATACTTCAGACAGCAAAAGCCGAGTACAGTTTAATATATTTCTCTGACATGTTTGTTTCCTGTTTTTGCAAAATAGAAATCAACAAAAACAGTTTTTAAAGGCTTGAATTGGTGTTCTGTCATACGGACGTTTCCAAACCTGACCCACTGTAGCGGTAGCCTGCACTGGAACGACAATGCTTATTTGAGTAGCCAAAGACAGATGGAAGTACTGAATAATCAATGCCTTTCCAGTGCGTAAACATCATTTTTTTAGAATGAGAATTAGACCTTCTTGCTGGGGAATTGCTGCAGTCACTGCTCCTGTATCTTGGGCTTTTCAGACAGGCAAGAGGTGTGAATTCTGAGATGTGGTCCTGACAGTGCCTTGATGCATTCTGTTAAGAAAAAACAGACACACAGTAAACAAATCATTTAAAAACCAGAAGTCTAAAATCATGCCTTTTCTTATAGCTATTATACTCTTGACATATTAATGCTTCTCACTAGATCATCACTATTTGTTTCAAATGAAAGTATAATCCCTCTGTGATGTTGAGCAATCAACCACTTTCAACAAATTAATTTTACATTAAGACCTACAGAATCAGGTGTAATTTTACACACAATTTCTAAAGCTGATAATGTGTTTTTAGAGAAGAGGTGAAGATATAGATGATTCTTTTTGATTTTTTTTTTATAACTAGGCTTATACAGCACTTTGCACTGACTACTGGTAATATCTTTTTACCTTGGACCTTTTGAAATCAGGAAATTTTGGGGACATTTTGAGAAGACAGAAGAAAAATCAACTATTTTGCCCTCTACTTCTAAAGACAGTGAATTCTCTACAACTGGTTTGTGATAATATGTGGAAGTGCCAGTGATTTAATGCATTGTTTTTTTACTTTTAAGCAAGATCTAGTTTTGCGCTTGGTTAGCCTACATGTGGCATCTCTAAAGGCAACTTATACTATGCATCACAGTACTCTCAGGGTCTAATTATCAGTTAACATTTACCTGTACTACATGGTCACCCAATATTCTGGCAGAAACAAGGCTAAAGTAATAGCATAGTAGCATGACAAGACTCTGGAACACATGCACAGACTGAAAGAAATTGGCACAATACCTTCCTAAATCAGGTTTATCTATTCTCCTTGCTTACTGTACATACAATTTCCAGGTAAAGGTTTATGGAGGTAATGTGATCATCTTTAAGAAATTATAAGCATTATATTCAAGAAATAATATGCATTAATGCCTACATTATAGGCATTATTCAAACCAATGGCATTAATCAAGCTCCTCGTTAATACTATATATATATACCAGTAATATTCTGTCATCCACTTTCTCTTTCCCTGCTAATATCAACAAAATAGCAAAAAAGGGGAATTAGGGTGGGAGAGGGAATATTAATGATGAAAGTTTATAGAAATTTGCCTGAGATTTAATATTACCTTTTTTTACGTCAATCACAAACTCAAAACATTACTCACACAACTAAGATCACACAGAAAGCTGTCTTAACAACAGTTACTGCGGGAAGAGAGAGTGAGCCAACTGTACCAAACTATTCATTATCAGTGTTGCCTGGCTTCTTTGAAAACATACATAGACCAAATACAAACACAAATATCTGCTAATTTTCTGTTCCTCCAGCTACAAAGTAAAACACTTTAGTTTTTTACACCTAACACACCAAACACACCGTAACTATCTCTCTAAAAAAAATGTATTTTTTTTCCACACACAAAATGCTGGATTCCAAGACATGCTATTTTTTAATCTTCTGTGCTTAACAGTATTCAAAGAAGTTGGGACATTCTACAACTTCTCATCTAGCAGATTTTAAAAATAAGTTAAAAGAATCCCTTCACCTACCTTCAAGCCCTATAGTTCTCTTTCTACCACATCACCTCATTACATTGCATTTGTCCTCCTCACCTATGGGCACTTTTGCTCCTTTACTTAATTCGTGTGTGTTGTTTTTTAGGGTCAAGAGAGTGTGAAGGGACGGCAGCACACATGGCAACCAGACGGAAATGTAGAAGTGTTAACTTTTTACTTACACTTGCTAGTGTAACCAGTGTTAGGTCAAGGAGATAATGTAAAGCAGAGAACTTCATTCTGTAATGTTCTCATGTCTTCATCCCCTAACACTGCCAGGCTTTAGGAGTTAACCCCTTAGGCTCCCATTTCAGATGTCTGGCAAGACTACTATGCTATCGTGTTACCTGAGGGAGTGAGGCACCGATGCCCTGGTCTAGGGAGACCATACTATTTTGGTAGATGCTGTGAGATATAGAGCCCCAGTCTCCTAATACAAGGTCCTACTCACATGTAACTTGCTTCCTTTCATATAATTATCTTCCTGTTAGATCTTGCTCTTACTGTCTCTATTTGGTCTATGTATGTATTCAAGAAGTTGAGATATGACAGTGCTAATGAGGGAGAATTACTTCTGACTTCATATATTCTATACTGTGGTGTAATGTGAATGCATTCTGCAACAATGGCTGCAGTTCTATAAATGAGATGTCACACAAAACCCCATGTATTAAAAAGACTTTAGTACAGGTATATTGATTCATGCAGATACATTGCTTACTATTACACTAGTAAGTGTCTGAGACAGAAAGATCTTACCTGAGATACGGATTACCTCTTGCAAAAACTAAGCTATTCAAGTAAAATACAGTAATTTTATATCAACACTGGTAAAGTACAGCAAAAACTCTGGAGGAAACAGTTGATTTGTAAAAAAGCACAGTTCACCAATAGAAATTAATCCAAACTGGCAACACGTACAGTACTGTTACCTAGTTTTGATCTAATTATGCCTCGGAAGCTGAAAGATTTCCTTCAAGAAGCGGCCCATCGCTGCTCGCCAGTGCATTTAGGGTTGTTTTATGTCTCATACTCTTCTGCAAGGATGAGGAAAAACACTGAGACTCTTGCTGAATACACGAGGGAAATGTGAATGAACTTAACCATTTGGTACAAATTTAACTACTGTACCAGCTCCTTGTAAAGTGACAGATTTTCTGATAGATTTAAAAATAAAAAGGTTATTCAGTGTAAAACAAAGTTTCTGTTTCTCAAGCCTGGCGTTAATCCTTTGAGCTTCCCTGAGAATGTTTCTGATTCCAATCCAAACTTTATTTTTAAAAAAATATTTAATTACTCCCTAACGTATTTAAATTGCACCACAACCACTGTGGGCTGTATGTTCTCCCCCGCTGACAATGGCCTGTACCGAGAGCTCCCATTGCTTTGATAAAGCCATGTACAAGTGCTGTACCTACAGCAGGACCCTACAGGGCATTTGGGCAGCCACAGTGGCCCAGTATTTCTTTTCAGGTGCTCTTACCTAGGCAGCCCAGGGATTGCAAGTTAAAGAGGGGATGTCCTGCTCCACTATGTCCCAGGCCTACGGCGGAGTGCACGTGAAGGTAATGAAGAGAGGGCTGACTGAAGGCAATGAAATGAGGCCTGACTTGCAGCTTATTCACTACAATGTGGTGAAGGAGGGCAGGGCAGTTGCCAAGGTAACTTCTTCCACGGGATTCAAACATGGCAACAGCAGGATCCCGCTTCTTTGCTTTCCAAACAAGGGGAGCCCACTGCATGACAAAGGCAATACTTTACTGGTCACTAGTTTGCTAAGAGCACACTTGCTGAACAGAAGCGAAGTCCTGTGAGAAACAGGAGATGGCAACCCCCAGAGAGGCTTCCTAAAGCAGAAGGGCCGCTCTGGGTTTCCCCAGGAGCCACAAAGGGCAGAGATTTCGTAACAGGGCTGATGGTCTGAGCTTGTGACTAAAGCGAAAGTAAAGTCAAAAACCGTCAGTCATAAGCCAAGAGAAAAAGAAAAACATTCCTTAAAAAGGAATTAAAATACAGAAGTTATTTACAGCTCACAATCAAAACAGCTGGTATTTCACTTCAAAAATATTTGGGATTACTGAAACACTGTTATTTGAAGGGACAATAAAATATGAAAAGAGAGTAATTTATATTTTCCACAACCAATTAATGTGGTTTGGGTCTATTAAAAAAACAACAAAAAAAACCCATTTATTAAAATTAAAGGCTGAAATGCCCTGGACTTTTCTTCCAGTTAAAGAACAATATTCAGATTGATGCATTGGGTTAAACAGTCACATGTATGAGACATGAGCAGGTTTTGGCTTGCATTAGAAAACAGATTCCTCCAAAGCTTTTGCAAAACCAATGTTCTAGCCCAACAAAAACTAGCTTATAGCTAGTCTTGTGTTTTATTTGATAACTCTTCCAGAAGTTCTTTATTATAAAGAAAGTTTTGTAGTTTAAGTTTAAAAAGTTTTAAAAAGGTCTTAAAAGTTTAGAAATAATTGGTTAAAAGCCCATTTGAACTAATCCTAGGGAACCTACAAGACAGTTTTATCCAAAATATTCAATACTGAAAACTACTTTGTGTGTTTTCCAAGTGATTTAAGTAGTTTGTCATTTTATTGACTACACATTTTTGAAGGGAGAAGCAGAGAGAAAATGTATGAATGTATTTTTTAATCTTAACTAGTTAAAAAACAAGGATATAAATTTTGCAGTGGAAACCAATAGTGTCCTACTACTCAGTGAAAAAGAGCTTTCTTATTAAGTTCAGTGAAGCCAAAATTTACTAGCTTTTTTTTATTTTGTTATTAAATTACTTTTGGATCATGGGCTATTTTTTTCTATTAAGAATCACAGAGTTTCATAAAATGGAATACAAGGAAATCTTGCTCTGAAAAGGTGTGCTAGAAATAGCTTGCACCCCAAAAGCTGCATATTCTTCCATAACAGCAGAGGAAATACATCTATATATTTGAAGGATTGATTCAGTATCTTCCAGTAACACATTTTCTGTACTAAGCCAGCATCAACATAGCCAGTACGTTTTTTTGTGTGGTGAATATTCCATTTAGTCACAACATGCATTCACCTACAGATATATCAATGATTAAAATGGCAATCTAAGAATCTTAGATTCTTGAGGCAGAAACATTATGTAAAATCCAGTAATAACAGTGGCAAAAATGACAGAGTAGTGATAGTGATGGATTGTGATAATGATCCATAGATTCCTTGTGATAAATAGAAGAAGGAAAAATTTATATTAAAAGTAATCTTCTTTAAAGTATAGTTGACATGTGAATCACAAATGGAGACAATGAGTATGGTAAATAACTTCTGATGATAAACCTTCTACTGTCCTTTGAATGAAATGGCCAAGCATGCAGAAAGGCAGAAAAAAAGTCACCTTTTTTCCGTTAGAAACTTAGACTGCTTGAAGTCTGAGAAAGCATAAAGATGGTGGACTGCTCAACAGAAAGGCACTGATGTTTACTCTGATTTTCCCAGAAGATTGTAGGAAGTAACCGTGCACATCATTTATGATTAAAGCAAGGTAGCAGTTATTTAGACAGAACGGATTGGAAGACAGGAGGAAACAGAGAGAGAGAGAGAGAGGAAGAAGAAACACAAGGGATATATCTCGTTAAAAGCCAAAGACTTTCTACTAAATCTTAAAAAAAAAAAAATCGCCAATGTTAAGCCAAAAAGTCTGCTTTACAGCTGATTCATTTCCAGCACTAACATACAATGCCAATGAGAAAGGCTACAGTACCTTGGCTAGGGCTTTTTTTTCTTTCTTTTTTTTTTTTTTTTGCATTAACCCGTCCACATTCACTCTTTCAATTTTTAAATTGTTAAAGAATGTAGAACTACACTGAGCAACTTCTACAAGTAGCGTATATACCATACAGGCATCTATTAAAGCTATTTAAATAGAAAAAAATGCTAAATGCTGATCAGCCTGGAAATGCCATATTCTTGTCTAAAGTAGGGCATTTCATAATTCTATATATTCAAGGAATGCAAAGCAATAGCAAATAGTTTTACTTTACAGATATTAGAACTTTTTTTTTTTTTTACCTTTGCCAAAGAGAAAATTTTATTTTTCCTTAGAAGTGAAGTTCCTCTATTCCTTTCCTTTTAATGTCAACTATCTTTTCTAGGAGAAATTAAAATACTAACTAATCTCAACATGCAATCACTGGTATCTCATTAATTTAAGCTATCATTAGCAGTTTATATGCTGAAAAGAGCAAAGGGAATAACACAAGTTTCAAATTCAATACCGTCATCATTATATATCTTTTAGTAAATGCAATATATCAAAGTTTGCTGAAGCCAAAAATGCAGATAAAGCTTTCAGATGGGGGTTAATCTGATGGTCTCAGACAAATACTATTCTTCCTACAGAAGACTTCCTACAGGAGACATCCTACAGAACTTGTGCTTTCCCTTCTATCTTCAGCATGGCTGATCTCTATTTATGCAACAGTTTATCCTATTGGCCTGGTCGGAAGAAAACCGACAGCAGATTAAAAAAAAATCCTCTCGTGGGGACAAGGCATACATAATTTACTATGATAAACATATTTGATTTTTTTTCTAGAGATAATGCATCTAAATAGGCAAAATAAATATAATTTGAAATGTAAAAGAGGAAAAACATTTAAGAGAATATAAATAAAGTTAAAATACTCATTTTTATAATAAGCATAGCATGAATATAAAATAATTTACTAAGGATGCAAAGATTAATCAATACAATTGAATGCTGGCATGAGTTTACTACATATTCCTTACCAACACAATTGTATTTCATTACATTTGTATTCATTACATTTATTTTAAGCATATAAATTATAGGTTTTGTTCAGCAATAAACACACACACAGGTGCAGAATTCCCCTGATATCGAATTGCAAATGCTTGTTCAACTCTAATACGGATTTCAATAAAATGACATGCTCCCTTGCTATCGGGGTTTAATTTGGACTTAGCTTATTTAGCTTAGCTAACAACTATGTTAAGTTCGGACAACAAATGCTAAAATGCCCATATTAAATGCTATATTAAGTTTCCTTAATGCAGTAGATTAATTGCAAATGCATTTTGAGGGTTTAAAAGATAATTACTTCAAATCATGGGTGTGGACAGCACTCCTGAATAAAACAACAGGATCAACTCAAGGCTCTGCTTAGGCCCATTTGTCCTCCCTGGCTTCCTATTGCACACTTTGAGTTATTCAGGCCTACTTTCTCCTTCATTCCTCCGATCTACCCAAACCGAGAGCCTCATTGCCCCTGCCCTTTTCATTTTCTTAGATTAAAAATCATGTATACCCATCTCCCACCATCTTTATCATCTGATTTCCCAATGGTTACTGGTAAGAAGGCACAGGGCTCGCCCCAGGTTTTAGGTAAACATAAAAAATACCTTTATTCACCATATCATTTGGAAGTGGTTAGTAAACAACCAATAACGTACATCATACATCAGGAAACCTTGTTCTAAGCTTTTCTCTAAACTTTTGAGAAGTCTATTAATAACCTGTGGTACAAAAAAAAAAAAAAAAAGCCTGAACAACAACAACAATAATTTTTACCTGGATTCTTTCTGTTGCTGTAGGCCACAACTGTCTGCATAAAACCTTCTTAAGAACATCTGGAAGAAGGCTGACAGTTATGAGTAGGATTATAGCCAGCCACGCAGGACCACTAGACAGCATTTGCATGAACACATAATACATCCTCTGATAATTGAGAAAAGGCCTGGTGGGAAAGATTAAATAGAAATTCAGTATACAAAAGAAATGCTTGGCAAATTTACATATAAATGAAATAAAAATATAATGGCAATCACGGTATGGAGCAGGTTCACCTTCTCACTTTGTGCAAATTAGTTCATCCCAATTTTCTCAAAGTGAGATCTGGACACTCACTAACTAGAGAGGCTTCC